ACAGTAGGCTCCTCATATTCAAAAATTTATTTTTTCATCTTTCGGAAGGTGACGAAACTGCACAGAAGGATTACAAAGTTATTTTTAGAAGCCTGTTGTAGTTTTACCGCTGAATATATTAGTACTGCTTACTCGCTATGCAGGACGCTCAATTAACGGATGCCAAGTGCCAAATTAGTCGCTTTAAATCTCTGGGCGCCAAACCGTGTAATGACGAATGTTGTACCCTATATGGCGCCGCCCGTATTCTCATCTACTCCCTAAAGTTTCATGGCACTCGGATGAACCGCATCCGAGTTTTATTTTTTATATACCGTGTATAGAGAAAAAAAATCGCTCCGCCCTTGCAAATATTAAACAATATTTTTTTGCAGAACATTGAGTGATCTAATCATCTCCCCCAAAGTTTCATGGTACTCGGATGAACGGTGTGAAACCGAAATTTTATAAACCGTATATAGAGAAAAATCGCACACTCCCGTGGCGCCGCCCTTGCGAATTTTTTTTTTTCACAGAACCCTTCCCTATAGTGGTATAATGAACTCCCTAAAGTCTCATGGCTATCGGATGAACGATGCCAAACCAAAATCGACTTTTATTTTTATACACCGTATATAGAAAAAAAAAACAAATCGCGAATTTGAATTTTTTTTTTCGCAGAAACCTCCTCAGGAATATTGTCAACAACTTCCTAAAGTTTCATGGCGATCGTGTGAACGGTGTCACGGCAATTCACTTTTATTATTTTTATATACCGTATAAAGAGGAAAATCGCACCTCTCGTGGCGCCGCCCTTGCGAAATTAAAAATGATTTTTGTACAGAACCCTTCCCTTGGGTGTTCTAATCAACTCCCCAAAGTTTCATGCCTATCGAATGAACGGTGTGAAATCGAAATAGACTTCTATTTTTATATATCGTATATAGAGAAAAAACAAATCGCGCCCTACCGGGGCGCCACCCCTGCGAATTTGAACTTTTTTTTTCGCAGAAACCTCCCCAGGAATATTCTGAACAACTTCCCGAAGTTTCACGGCGATGTGATAAGAGGTGTGGTAATGCATTAAAGACACACACACACACACACACAAACATACATTGCTTTTTTATATATATATAGATAATATATATATATGTTACGGTCAAAGCCCGAAGTGCGGCCAAAGCCCGCATTGGCCGGCCAATGTGCGCATTGGCCGGCTCTCTTAGTTAAAGCCCGAAGAACTTAGCACTAAGATCGTATTTCGTACATTGGCCGGCCAATGCGCGCACTGGCCGGGACGTACTGGCCAAAGTCCGAAGCGCTTAAACTTGACAGCGTATTTTGTACTTTGGCCGGCCAATTATACATATTCTAAAGAACGGTTTAAAATTTCCTGATAACGTACTAATGACGCTCTATTATACACATATTATAAAAATATTGTCTGTTTTTACTTTGTGATCAATTATTTTTGGCTTGCCATTCTATAGAATTTAAACAAAATGAAACCAAAGTATGGACCACTATATTATCTATTTTTCATACTCTTACAGAATGCAAGACACAAAAACTATTTTCTTTTTTAATTGTTTAAGTAAGGTGCAACTTTATTTAATAATGATAATTATTAGTTTTCTGGGGGTTTGATTTTTATTGAAATAAACTTTTTAATTAAAACTTATGTTTTCTTTATTTAATATTTATAATTCCTAAAATAAACTTGTTGTATTCGTTTATATGTAACACATATGGTTACCAGCCAAGGGGGATAACGAATGAAGTTTTAATTCATTGGGTTGCGGCCCCTGTGGGACCGCAACTGAACTGTTGATGTAGTTTTTTAGCGCAATTTCCATTCTGGAGAATTGCGTTTATTAACCCGTCATTTCTGGATGTATGAATGTATGAATGAATGGATGGATGGATGGATGTATGTGTGTCCGCAGCTTTAAGTCGTATCTCCTCCTCAACGAAGCAATATCGATGACTAGTTACAAAAGCAATTATGTTAAGCAAGTTTCGAGGATGAACATAGGCTATAAAAATTACGGGTTTCTTTCATGGATTTCCCGGAAAAGCCAAAAAAACCTCGAAAAAAAGCAGTTTTTTGCCCATATCTCGGCAACCAGACCACTTAGCGACTTGAAACATATACCAATCGATTCCTGCCATAATTTAGAACAATATTGCCGAAGAAAGTTTTCAAAAATATCCTTTTGTTCGGTCACAAAAAAAAATTTGAATTAATTAAAATTTGGACCGAATTAGTAAGCATATTTATCCAACCACACCACACGCGTCATCACGTTCAATAGCTGCGCCATCACGTTCAATGGCTGCGTCATCACATTCAGTAGGCGCGCAATTGTTTTTAGTCATGTAACTCTATTGTAAATAAAACATGTAAAATACTGAAAAAAAAATTAATAAAAAACGTTTTAATAACTAAGCAATGGTTTTACTAACCCTGCTCTTGATTTACGCTACGACAGAGCTATTTTTAGATAACATAAGGAAATTGCGCTTAAATGTCACTAGACTTTTTAATTAACTTGTTTTTCATGCTCTTGTGAGCGATGTTACCTGTGCCCCATGTCATGTGACATGGGACTGTGGGTAGTTTCGTGCCTAGCCGTATAAGTCACACGCAAGGCTGCTGTCTGTGGACACGGTGACCAAGATGTAGACCTAATGAATGGCTACAGTTTTGGTTTCTTTGTTTCTTTGTTGCTTGTGTCTTCAGTATTTCTCTCTGTTTTGACATCGTCGTATTACTGTGTTATGCATCGCCGTCATGGCTCGATGCAGTGAATAAAGCGAGTACTTGACAACAACTGTCGGTGTCAGTGTGTTCTAAATCTCCGGGTCAGCCCGTCTTAACCACAACACCTCAGTGGGTAAAAGCATCCCCACTGAGTGAGGGTTACATATATATACCAAAAAAAACGTTACTGATTTTACAATGTTTATGTTGCCCTAATCCCCATACAGAACTCCAGAGAACAATGTACACTATTCCTAACACTAAACCTACAGTTTATATATCGCACTAGTTTCATCGCTTTGCTAATCGACCTATTTTAATATTGAAAGAAAAAAAAATACTCGGATAGACGCGAGGCTAATTATTACAGCTATCGTCATAGTTATTAATTACACATTGTACTTTGTTGTTCATAGCATACAATTTTATAATAACTATTTTCAAGAATGCTAATAGATGGGGTCTTTAATTTCCTTTTTAGAAATCAACAAGAACCAAAGATTCCCAAGTATTGAAAACAATTTTGCATCATGCGTTTAGATTTATATTTTGTACATAAAACAACTAAAGATTAAAAAATTATTGATATTGGCAAATTAATTATAAATAGGCTATATTTCATATTTAACTGACATAAAATATTTAACATTTATGTATTGCCAAGTTTCCACGTTTTTTTTTTTATTGACAACATCTTTTATTATTTTATTAGCAACAAAGGCACTATTACATCTAGTTATAGCAAAGATTTATATGTTTCGCTAGATACCACAAATTATTACGTGTAATCGAACAGTCAACGTGAACTATAAAACTTTAATTTCTTTCTATCAAATTAATAAAATATCAGACATCGATGAATGTAACGGTCAGACAGGAAGTCCTTGCCAGCAGATTTGTATCAATAATTATGGAGCCTTCTCGTGCTCGTGTAACCCAGGTTACACCTTGAGTATCACGGATCAACAGAGCTGTATAGGTAAGTGTTATACAAGTACCGATTTCAACCTCATTAATTCCCACATAAATAAATACCCTACATAATTCGTATAATTAATATAATGTGTATTCACCCATAAGATTACACTTTGGTTTAGTCATATACATTTATTTATTTCAGTGATTTGTATGAGATTTCTCAGACTACCAAAACTAGTAGTTTTTAAACTTTTTGGATGTACAGAACTACACTAGTTGCATATGAGCATTCACCGAACCATTTGTGATTGTTATAATGTACTCATGAAAAAAATCCGATGGTAATTCATATAAGGGATGTGTCTCGACCTCCGCCCTACCCACGAGACCGACTAATCGAATTCTCAGGGTTTGATCGAACCCGTGTTTGGGTTGTTTGAGAGGGTCGAGTTTTACCTGACGCGATTCACAATAAATAAGTGAGTACCACTACGCTGATCATTCACATCAAAACGCGAATCACTTGGCACAATTTTTTCTTGGTCAATATTTATTCATCTACTGTCCAGTGGCGGAAGGAAAATAAAATGCCGGCAAACTTCGCAATGCGAAGGGCGGGGCGGGTATGGGGCTGGCCAACACTAATCTGTGTTTTGGTATGTTAACAGAAACACTGAAACGTGTATATATACTATCAAATCGTATTGCAATTCTGTTATTTAAAAAAAAATTACATACGTTATCAATTTTCAAAGACACGTTGTTTTTTACAAGCTTTTATTTAACTTGCTTCTTCGCGATTTATGTTTTGTCTGTTTGTCCGTCATGGGTTTTATGTAACCGACGATAAAAATTTAAACCACTTGAAACGAGCAATGATTTTTTTTAAACGAGGAACGCATTGTAAAATATATTTATTACAATTAATTTTTTTAAATTTATATTTTAAATAACTATTTAATATTTCCTCGGTAAAATATTAATTCAGTTTTATTATACTCAATTAGTCTGTTTTTATTTTGTGATCAATAGTTTTAGGCTTGCCATTCTATAGTATTTTTAAAGTATTTAAACTAAATGAACCCAAAGTATGGATCACTATATTATCTATGTAATACTCTTACAAAATGCAAGAAACAACCACGCTTTTCTTTAGAATTATTTAAGTAAGGTGCAACATTATTTAATAATGGAAATTATTAGTTTTCTGTGATTAGGTTTTTATTGAATTAAACTTTGTTATTAAAACTTATGTTTTCTTTATTTAATCTTTGTAAACTTAATACGAAAGATCCTAGTAGTAAAAAAATGTTTAGTTTGAAAATACAAATTTCAGACATCGACGAATGCAACGACCAAGCAGGAAATCCGTGTCAGCAGATTTGTACAAACACTGTTGGCAGTTACTCGTGTTCATGTAGTCCAGGATACACCGTCAGTGGTACGAACTCTAGCACGTGTGATGGTGAGTCGGTTTAAACATTTTATCTTTAGACTAAAGTATAAACTTGGCTGGTACTTTTTGTTTTAATATAAGATTTATAATTTACGAGCCGGCCCGCGGCATAACATACGCCGCTATTTAGTTGTTTCTAATTTTCAATAATTCATAATTTGTGAATTCGACAGTACCAACGCTGACACTGAAAATATTTCTTTAAAACACTATAAGTAGCTCGTTAAGGACCATAACCCCCCCCCCCCCCTTCCTTCCCCCCCCCCCTCCCCACCCCCACCCCCCCTCCCCCCCCCCCCACCCCCCTACGTTAAAAATCGTTGGCTCTGCTTGTAAACATTTAGAGTGAACACAGCTTACTAAAACCATGTAGGGGTGGGGAGGTAGGGAGAGCGTTTGCAGCTTGTTTTCTAACGGCTCGAAGAGGAGAATTATATATATAGATTGAAAATTGATTTAATATGGTACGATATGACATATTGTGTGGCATAGGATTTTTTCTTGCACAGTGAAGCAGATAATTTTTAGAAGTGACTGTTCTTGCTCCTTTTAATTAATTATTCCTTAAAGATATTGTTTTATTACTTTTTATATTCCAAAATGATGTTACTGATTTTACAATGTTACCGTTGCCCAAATCATCATATATAACTCCAAAGAACAGAGTACACTATTCCTAACACTAAACGTATAGTTTAATATTGCACTCTGTTCATCGCGTTGCTAATAGTACGCTTTTAAATTTGAAAGAAAAAAAATATTCGGATAGACTCGAGGCGATTTATAAGAGCTATTATCAAAGTTATCAATTAAAAAAATGTTCTTTTATTGTTTATAGCATAAAATTTTAAAATAATTTTGGTCAGGATTGCTAATAATTTGTTGCAAACAAAATCACAAATAGATCGGGTCTTTAATTTCTATTTTAGAAATCAACAAAAACCAAAGATTCACAAGTACTGAAACCAATTTTTTAATCAGGATTTAGATTTTGTACATCAAAAGGAACTAAAGATTATACAATGATAGATATTGTCACACTAAATATAAAAGTATTGCATACACAGCTGACATACATTATATAACATTTATTTACTGTTTAGTTGCCAAAATTTTTATTGACAACAATTATTAATATTTTATTAGCAATAAAGGTATAGGTACATCTGGTTGTAGCAATAAATTAATTTTTTACACGGTAGCACAAATGTTTATGTGTAATCGAAATAGCAACATTAAGTATAAAACACTTATTTGTTTCTATCAAATTTATAAAATATCAGACATCGATGAATGTCATCGTCAGACAGGAAGCCCTTGCCAGCAGATTTGTATCAACGATAACGGAGGCTACTCGTGCTCGTGTAACGCTGGCTACACCATGAGTAGCACGGATCACCAGAGCTGTATAGGTAATTGTTATCAGATTTAGGTACGTGTATCAGAATTATCAGATTACTCAAACCAGTAGTTTTTAAACTTTTTGGATGTACCGAACTCCATCAGTTGCATATGCGAATTCATCGAACAATTTGTAATTGTTATATTGTACTCATGAAAATTCATATCGTAAATCATATAAGTCGGGTGTGTCTTGACCTCTTCCCAACCCATTGAGACTGACTCACCATATTCCCGGGGTTCGATCGAAACCCAGTGTTTGGATTGTTTGAGAGAGTCGAGGTTTACCTGACGCGATTCACTATAAAAAAAAGGGTACCCCTACACCGATGACTCACATCAAAACGAGAATCACTTGGTACAATATTTTCTTGGTCAATATTTATTCAACTACTGTCCAGGGGCGGAAAGACAATGCGGAGGGCGGTGCGAGGATGGGGCTGGCCAACCCTAATCTGTGTATTGGTATGTTAACAGAAACTCTGAAACGTTTATAACTACTATTTTAATCGTATTGCGATTATGTTATTTACAAAAATATAAATTCCTTTACATACGTTGTCAATTTTTAAGACACATGGTTTTTTTACAAACTTTTATTTAACTTGCTTCTTCGCGATTTATGTTTTGTCTGTTTGTCCGTAATGGGTTGTAACAGACGAACACAATTTAGACCACTTGACAAGTATTGTGATATATATTTATTTCAGTCGAATTTTGTTATTCATATTTTAAAGTATTATTTCATATTTCCTAAATAAAATACTAATTCGGTTTTATTATACATAATTTGTCTGTTTTTATTTTTTTATCAATTATTTTTGGCTTGCCATTCTATAGTGTGTTTTTAAATTATTTAAGTAATGGTGCAACATTATTTAATAATGGAGATTATTTATTTTCTGCGGTTATTGTTTTATTGAATTAAACTTTATTAATAAAACTTATTTTTTCTTTACTTAATCTTTGTATACTTAATACGAAAGATCCTAGTAGTAAAAATCCTAGTTTAAAAATGTAAATTTCAGACATCGATGAATGCAACGACCAAGCAGGAAATCCGTGTCAGCAGAATTGTACAAACACTGTTGGCAGTTACTCGTGTTCATGTAGTCCAGGTTACACCGTCAGTGGTACGAACTCTAGCACGTGTGATGGTGAGTCGGTTTAAACATTTTATCTTTAGACTAAAGTATAAACTTGGCTGGTACTTTTCGTTTTAATATAACATATATGATTTATTGAAACATAACATAATATGATACAATATGACACAGTCTTTGGCATATCGATTTTTTTGCTCATATAGAAGGAAGAGTTGTTTATGACTAACTGTTCTTGCTTCTATTTATTAATTTTTACTAAAGGAAATTGTTTAATTAGTTTATATATTCCAAAATGACGTCACTGTTTTTACAGGGTTTCCGCTGCCCTACTCCTTGGATAGAACTCCATTAAACACAGTAGCCTACACTATTCCTAACACTTAATGGATAGTTTGATATTGCACTCTATTCATCGCGTTGCTAAAGGTCATTTTTTTATACTTAAAAAAGAAAAAAATTACTGGGATAGACTGGAGACGATTTTTAATAGAGCTATTATCAAAGTTATCAATTTTAAAAAGTTCTTTGTTGTTCATAGCATAAAATTGTATAATAACTATGGTCTGAATAGCAAATTATTAATTGCAAACAGAATAATAAATAGATTTAGTCTTTAATTTCTATTTTAGTATTCAACAGGAACCAAAGATTCACAAGTGTTGAAACAAATTTAACCCTATATTGCACGCTTTTTTATTTGAACTTGGAAATATTTTTTCTATGCTGTGTTTATGTTATGGGTAGATCTTAGATCACTTCTATATGGATAATTTGTAAAAAAAAATTATGGGATATTGCTTTTGTATGTATGTTGCCATGCGGCAACATGGTGCGTATAAGGGTAAAAATTTCAATAGTTGCTGAATGGCAACGAACTAACAAATTTTAGTATAAACAAAGACAAACAAGCTCTAGGGCAGAACAAACTAAAGATTTATTAAACATATCAATAATATATGTATTTCAACACATATTGGTAATTTTCACATACTACTAAAACACATAAAAATGTATTTATTTATATATAAAACTCATAAGAAAGAGATAAACTTCCAAAACTTGTGTCGGATGCTTGGTATTGAAATCAATGATCACATTATTTAATTGCATTATAATCCTAACCCTTATTTTGGACCTAACACAATAAGTACCATTATTTATCTGTTTAGGTAAATTTGGAAAGTACAATGAGTAACTTAGTAAAAGATATCTTTATTTTTAATCACATGAGAATATTGTAGCTAAAATAAGTTGCTATAGCAGTTTTCCTAATGGGATTGACACAAGTGTGTATTTCTTGAACTTGCTTGTAGTAGTAAGTTTCGTGTAGCTAAGAGATTTATAAAAAAAAAATTATACAAGCACATAAATTATCCAGTGATAGTTGTTCTTTTAGCCGCACTGCATGGTACAATACACTTTTTACCCCCTTACATTATTGTGATTACTAAAATATCTACCAGATAATAACCATGTATTCTAGCTGCTGTAATATTTACAAATATTTACAACACTAACATATATTATAATGGCTAACAAAAATGTTCCTAGCACTTTATAAATTTTTTTTTTCAAAACTGAATTTCAAAATTTAATTATTTACACAATTCCCATACAACTATCACTTTACAACAAGAGAGCCAATTATATTATTATATTAGTATCTTTATATCCTCATAATTGTCCACAACTTGTAGATTTTATTTGTTGGTCCTACAATGGTGTGGTGTCAAACAATTTATTTCTGGTGTGGCATACCTGTTTCTTCTGATAGAACTTGTGCCGTGTTTCATATTTCTTCACCTGAATAACACAAATAAAAATATCAAGTTACCCACCATTTAACTGTCGGCTACTGGAATAAAACTTACTGTATCAATAGTACACAAACATTTGTTTCCCTATAAGAAAAGGTTAACATTTCTAACAATAATTAGTCAAACAAATACGCTCGTGTCGTCAATAACATTTCTGCGCTAAATAAACCCTAAGGTATAATTAATTATATTGGTAATTCAGGCTAGATATCCTGACATGCAGTGTGCCCAATCAATAAATAGATTATCAATAGATAGTGTCATTGATTACTATCTTGTAAATATTTTTTTTATGATTACAGAGCTCCTAAATCTATTTGTAACTAACCGTCATGATTTTGAAATGTATCTGAAGTGTTTCCTGGTCATCTGTTTGGTGATGCTTCTAACTTTCTTTTCAGATTACTCCAATAAAATTCTCTAGAATCCATTTGTATCAGTAACTAGCAGCTTCTGAAAAAATAATTAAAAAATTAAAAACTAAATCATATAAGCTAGGATTATATTATAAATTTTATTAGCCGATAAAATATATTGTAAAGTTTATATAAGTAATACTACTACTATTCTAAATCAGTAATGTTCTTGACTAAATAATATATTGCATTTGCCAATAACAGTTTGTATATATATTTTTAGTGATATGTGTGCTAAAATAGTTAGTTCTATTTAGTAGTTATACTAATCCTAGTAAATAGGCCTATTATTAGTAGGCGGATAAATTTAGTAAATAAATTTTCTTTCTGTGACATCCTCTCAACAAAAGAACTTAGGAAGTAATTGGTAATAGGAGCATTATTATCTTCTTTAAAAATAACTAAATACACTGAAAAATCTTTGAAAAACAAAAAAATAGATTTATTGTTGCCATTTGGCTACAGAGCACGAAAGTAACCTCTGTTGCAATATGATGCCAAATGGCAACAAACCATTTTCGATCTAAATAAGTATGTAATTTATAAAATATTAGACATCGATGAATGCAACGGTCAGACAGGAAGTCCTTGCCAGCAGATTTGTAACAACAATTATGGAGCCTACTCGTGCTCATGTAAATCCGGCTACACTAATTGCATATGCGCATTCGCCGAACCATTTGTAATTGTTATAATGTACTCATGAAAAGTTCCGATGGTGAATCATATAAGGGAGGTGTGTTGACCTCCGCCCTACCCACGAGACCGACTAACCGAACTCCCAGGGTTTGATCGAACTTCAGTGTTTGCGTTGTTTGAGACGGTCGAGTTTTACCTGACGCGAATCACAAAAAAATAAGAGTACCACTACACTGATCATACACATGAAAACGCAAATCACTTGGCACAATATTTTCTAGGTCAATATTTATTCAACTACTGTCCAGGGGCGGAAGGGAAATGCAATGCCGGCCAACTTCGCAATGCAATGGGCGGTGCGGGTATGGGGCTGGGCAACACTAATCTGTGTACTGGTATGTTAACAGAAACACTGAAACGTGAATAAATTCTATTTTAATCGTATTGCATTTCTGTTATTTTTTTTTAAATTAAATTTGTTTACATACGTAGTGAATTTTCAAAGACACATGGTTTTTTACAAACTTTTATTTAAGTTGCTTCTTCGTGAATTGTGTTTTTCCATCATAGGTTGTAACTGACGATCAAAATTTAGACCACTTTAAACAAGCAATGTTTTTTTTTTAATTGACACAAATTGTGATATAGGCTACATTTATTCAAATGAATTTTTTTTGTTCTAATTCTTAATAACTATTTAATATTTCCTAGGTAAAATACTAATTCCGTTTTATTATACTCAATTTGTCTGTTTTTATTTTGCGATCAATTGTTTTAGGCTTGCCATTCTATTGTATTTTTTAAAGTATTTAAACTAAATGAAACATAAGTATGGACCGCTTTATTATCTATTTAATACTCTTACAAAATGCAAGAAACTATCACACTTCTTTTTATGATTATTTAAGTAATGGTGCAACATTATATTTAATAATGGAAATAATTAGTTTTCTGGGGTTGGGGTTTTATTGAATGAAACTTTCTTAATAAAATTTATTTTTTCTTTACTTAATCTTTGTATACTTAATACGAAAGATCCTAGTAGTAAAAATCCTAGTTTAAAAATGTAAATTTCAGACATCGATGAATGCAACGACCAAGCAGGAAATCCGTGTCAGCAGATTTGTACAAACACTGTTGGCAGTTACTCGTGTTCATGTAGTCCAGGTTACACCGTCAGTGGTACGAACTCTAGCACGTGTGATGGTGAGTCGGTTTAAACATTTTATCTTTAGACTAAAGTATAAACTTGGCTGGTACTTTTTGTTTTAATATAAGATTTATAATTTATTGAAAATTGATTTAATATGGTACGATATGACATATTGTGTGGCATAGGATTTTTTCTTGCACAGTGAAGCAGATAATTTTTTTAGAAGTGACTGTTCTTGCTCCTTTTAATTAATTATTCCTTAAAGATATTGTTTTATTACTTTTTATATTCCAAAATGATGTTACTGATTTTACAATGTTACCGTTGCCCAAATCATAATATATAACTCCAAAGAACAGAGTACACTATTCCTAACACTAAACGTATAGTTTAATATTGCACTCTGTTCATCGCGTTGCTAATAGTACGCTTTTAAATTTGAAAGAAAAAAAATATTCGGATAGACTCGAGGCGATTTATAAGAGCTATTATCAAAGTTATCAATTAAAAAAATGTTCTTTTATTGTTTATAGCATAAAATAATTTTAAAATAATTTTGGTCAGGATTGCTAATAATTTGTTGCAAACAAAATCACAAATAGATCGGGTCTTTAATTTCTATTTTAGAAATCAACAAAAACCAAAGATTCACAAGTAGGCTACTGAAACCAATTTTTTAATCAGGATTTAGATTTTGTACATCAAAAGGAACTAAAGATTATACAATGATAGATATTGTCACACTAAATATAAAAGTATTGCATACACAGCTGACATACATTATATAACATTTATTTACTGTTTAGTTGCCAAAATTTGTATTGACAACAATTATTAATATTTTATTAGCAATAAAGGTATTGGTACATCTGGTTGTAGCAATAAATTATTTTTTTACACGGTAGCACAAATGTTTATGTGTAATCGAAATAGCAACATTAAGTATAAAACACTTATTTGTTTCTATCAAATTTATAAAATATCAGACATCGATGAATGTCATGGTCAGACAGGAAGCCCTTGCCAGCAGATTTGTATCAACGATAACGGAGGCTACTCGTGCTCGTGTAACGCTGGCTACACCATGAGTAGCACGGATCACCAGAGCTGTATAGGTAATTGTTATCAGATTTAGGTACGTGTATCAGAATTATCAGATTACTCAAACCAGTAGTTTTTAAACTTTTTGGATGTACCGAACTCCATCAGTTGCATATGCGAATTCATCGAACAATTTGTAATTGTTATATTGTACTCATGAAAATTCATATCGTAAATCATATAAGTCGGGTGTGTCTTGACCTCTTCCCAACCCATGAGACTGACTCACCATATTCTCGGGGTTCGATCGAAACCCAGTGTTTGGATTGTTTGAGAGATCGAAGTTTACCTGACGCGATTCACTATAAAAAAAAGGGTACCCCTACACCGATGACTCACATCAAAACGAGAATCACTTGGTACACTATTTTCTTGGTCAATATTTATTCAACTACTGTCCAGGGGCGGAAAGACAATGCGGAGGGCGGTGCGAGGATGGGGCTGGCCAACCCTAATCTGTGTATTGGTATGTTAACAGAAACTCTGAAACGTTTATAACTACTATTTTAATCGTATTGCGATTATGTTATTTACAAAAATATAAATTCCTTTACATACATTGTCAATTTTTAAGACACATGGTTTTTTTACAAACTTTTATTTAACTTGCTTCTTCGCGATTTATGTTTTGTCTGTTTGTCCGTAATGGGTTGTAACAGACGAACACAATTTAGACCACTTGACAAGTATTGTGATATATATTTATTTCAATCGAATTTTGTTATTCATATTTTAAAGTATTATTTCATATTTCCTAAATAAAATACTAATTCGGTTTTATTATACATAATTTGTCTGTTTTTATTTTTTTATCAATTATTTTTGGCTTGCCATTCTATAGTGTGTTTTTAAATTATTTAAGTAATGGTGCAACATTATTTAATAATGGAGATTATTTATTTTCTGCGGTTATTGTTTTATTGAATTAAACTTTATTAATAAAACTTATTTTTTCTTTACTTAATCTTTGTATACTTAATACGAAAGATCCTAGTAGTAAAAATCCTAGTTTAAAAATGTAAATTTCAGACATCGATGAATGCAACGACCAAGCAGGAAATCCGTGTCAGCAGAATTGTACAAACACTGTTGGCAGTTACTCGTGTTCATGTAGTCCAGGTTACACCGTCAGTGGTACGAACTCTAGCACGTGTGATGGTGAGTCGGTTTAAACATTTTATCTTTAGACTAAAGTATAAACTTGGCTGGTACTTTTCGTTTTAATATAACATATATGATTTATTGAAACATAACATAATATGATACAATATGACACAGTCTTTGGCATATCGATTTTTTTGCTCATATAGAAGAAAGAGTTATTTATGACTAACTGTTCTTGCTTCTATTTATTAATTTTTACTAAAGGAAATTGTTTAATTAGTTTATATATTCCAAAATGACGTCAGTGTTTTTACAGGGTTTCCGCTGCCCTACTCCTTGGATAGAACTCCATTAAACACAGTAGCCTACACTATTCCTAACACTTAATGGATAGTTTGATATTGCACTGTATTCATCGCGTTGCTAAAGTTCATTTTTTTATACTTAAAAAAGAAAAAAATTACTCGGATAGACTGGAGACGATTTTTAATAGAGCTATTATCAAAGTTATCAATTTTAAAAAGTTCTTTGTTGTTCATAGCATAAAATTGTATAATAACTATGGTCTGAATAGCAAATTATTAATTGCAAACAGAATAATAAATAGATTTAGTCTTTAATTTCTATTTTAGTATTCAACAGGAACCAAAGATTCACAAGTGTTGAAACAAATTTAACCCTATATTGCACGCTTTTTTATTTGAACTTGGAAATATTTTTTCTATGCTGTGTTTATGTTATGGGTAGATCTTAGATCACTTCTATATGGATAATTTGTAAAAAAAATTATGGGATATTGCTTTTGTATGTATGTTGCCATGCGGCAACATGGTGCGTATAAGGGTAAAAATTTCAATAGTTGCTGAATGGCAACGAACTAACAAATTTTAGTATAAACAAAGACAAACAAGCTCTAGGGCAGAACAAACTAAAGATTTATTAAACATATCAATAATATATGTATTTCAACACATATTGGTAATTTTCACATACTACTAAAACACATAAAAATGTATTTATTTATATATAAAACTCATAAGAAAGAGATAAACTTCCAAAACTTGTGTCCGATGCTTGGTATTGAAATCAATGATCACATTATTTAATTGCATTATAATCCTAACCCTTATTTTGGACCTAACACAATAAGTACCATTATTTATCTGTTTAGGTAAATTTGGAAAGTACAATGAGTAACTTAGTAAAACATATCTTTATTTTTAATCACATGAGAATATTGTAGCTAAAATAAGTTGCTATAGCAGTTTTCCTAATGGGATTGACACAAGTGTGTATTTCTTGAACTTGCTTGTAGTAGTAAGTTTCGTGTAGCTAAGAGATTTATAAAAAAAAAATTATACAAGCACATAAATTATCCAGTGATAGTTGTTCTTTTAGCCGCACTGCATGGTACAATACACTTTTTACCCCCTTACATTATTGTGATTACTAAAATATCTACCAGATAATAACCATGTATTCTAGCTGCTGTAATATTTACAAATATTTACAACACTAACATATATTATAATGGCTAACAAAAATGTTCCTAGCGCTTTATAAATTTTTTTTTTCAAAACTGAATTTCAAAATTTAATTATTTACACAATTCCCATACAACTATCACTTTACAACAAGAGAGCCAATTATATTATTATATTAGTATCTTTATATCCTCATAATTGTCCACAACTTGTAGATTTTATTTGTTGGTCCTACAATGGTGTGGTGTCAAACACTTTATTTCTAGTGTGGCATACCTGTTTCTTCTGATAGAACTTGTGCCGTGTTTCATATTTCTTCACCTGAATAACACAAATAAAAATATCAAGTTACCCACCATTTAACTGTCGGCTACTGGAATAAAACTTACTGTATCAATAGTACACAAACATTTGTTTCCCTATAAGAAAAGGTTAACATTTCTAACAATAATTAGTCAAACAAATACGCTCGTGTCGTCAATAACATTTCTGCGCTAAATAAACCCTAAGGTATAATTAATTATATTGGTAATTCAGGCTAGATATCCTGACATGCAGTGTGCCCAATCAATAAATAGATTATCAATAGATAGTGTCATTGATTACTATCTTGTAAATATTTTTTTTATGATTACAGAGCTCCTAAATCTATTTGTAACTAACCGTCATGATTTTGAAATGTATCTGAAGTGTTTCCTGGTCATCTGTTTGGTGATGCTTCTAACTTTCTTTTCAGATTACTCTAATAAAATTCTCTAGAATCCATTTGTATCAGTAACTAGCAGCTTCTGAAAAAATAATTAAAAAATTAAAAACTAAATCATATAAGCTAGGATTATATTATAAATTTTATTAGCCGATAAAATATATTGTAAAGTTTATATAAGTAATACTACTACTATTCTAAATCAGTAATGTTCTTGACTAAATAATATATTGCATTTGCCAATAACAGTTTGTATATATATTTTTAGTGATATGTGTGCTAAAATAGTTAGTTCTATTTAGTAGTTTTACTAATCCTAGTAAATAGGCCTATTATTAGTAGGCGGATAAATTTAGTAAATAAATTTTCTTTCTGTGACATCCTCTCAACAAAAGAACTTAGGAAGTAATTGGTAATAGGAGCATTATTATCTTCTTTAAAAATAACTAAATACACTGAAAAATCTTTGAAAAACAAAAAAATAGATTTATTGTTGCCATTTGGCTACAGAGCACGAAAGTAACCTCTGTTGCAATATGATGCCAAATGGCAACAAACCATTTTCGATCTAAATAAGTATGTAATTTATAAAATATTAGACATCGATGAATGCAACGGTCAGACAGGAAGTCCTTGCCAGCAGATTTGTAACAACAATTATGGAGCCTACTCGTGCTCATGTAAATCCGGCTACACTAATTGCATATGCGCATTCGCCGAACCATTTGTAATTGTTATAATGTACTCATGAAAAGTTCCGATGGTGAATCATATAAGGGAGGTGTGTTGACCTCCGCCCTACCCACGAGACCGACTAACCGAACTCCCAGGGTTTGATCGAACTTCAGTGTTTGCGTTGTTTGAGACGGTCGAGTTTTACCTGACGCGATTCACAAAAAAATAAGAGTACCACTACACTGATCATTCACATGAAAACGCAAATCACTTGGCACAATATTTTCTTGGTCAATATTTATTCAACTACTGTCCAGGGGCGGAAGGGAAATGCAATGCCGGCCAACTTCGCAATGAAATGGGCGGTGCGGGTATGGGGCTGGGCAACACTAATCTGTGTACTGGTATGTTAACAGAAACACTGAAACGTGAATAAATTCTATTTTAATCGTATTGCATTTCTGCAATTTTTTTTTAAATTAAATTTGTTTACATACGTAGTGAATTTTCAAAGACACATGGTTTTTTACAAACTTTTATTTAAGTTGCTTCTTCGTGAATTGTGTTTTTCCATCATAGGTTGTAACTGACGATCAAAATTTAGACCACTTTAAACAAGCAATGTTTTTTTTTAAATTGTGATATACATTTATTCAAATGAAATTTTTTTGTTCTAATTCTTAATAACTATTTAATATTTCCTAGGTAAAATACTAATTCCGTTTTATTATACTCAATTTGTCTGTTTTTATTTTGCGATCAATTGTTTTAGGCTTGCCATTCTATTGTATTTTTTAAAGTATTTAAACTAAATGAAACATAAGTATGGACCGCTTTATTATCTATTTAATACTCTTACAAAATGCAAGAAACTATCACACTTCTTTTTATGATTATTTAAGTAATGGTGCAACATTATATTTAATAATGGAAATAATTAGTTTTCTGGGGTTGGGGTTTTATTGAATGAAACTTTCTTAATAAAATTTATTTTTTCTTTACTTAATCTTTGTATACATAATACGAAAGGAAAGTTCCTATTAGTAAAAAAGTATTTCGTTTGAAAATACAAATTTAAGACATCGATGAATGCAACGACCAAGCAGGAAATCCGTGTCAGCAGAATTGTACAAACACTGTTGGCAGTTACTCGTGTTCATGTAGTCCAGGTTACACCGTCAGTGGTACGAACTCTAGCACGTGTGATGGTGAGTCGGTTTAAACATTTTATCTTTAGACTAAATTATAAACTTGGCTGGTAGTTTTTGTTTTAATATAAGATTTATAATTTATTGAAAATTGATTTAATATGGTACGATATGACATATTGTGTGGCATAGGATTTTTTCTTGCACAGTGAAGCAGATAATTTTTTAGAAGTGACTGTTCTTGCTCCTTTTAATTAATTATTCCTTAAAGATATTGTTGTATTACTTTTTATATTCCAAAATGATGTTACTGATTTTACAATGTTACCGTTGCCCAAATCATCATATATAACTCCAAAGAACAGAGTACACTATTCCTAACACTAAACGTATAGTTTAATATTGCACTCTGTTCATCGCGTTGCTAATAGTACGCTTTTAAATTTGAAAGAAAAAAAATATTCGGATAGACTCGAGGCGATTTATAAGAGCTATTATCAAAGTTATCAATTAAAAAAATGTTCTTTTATTGTTTATAGCATAAAATTTTAAAATAATTTTGGTCAGGATTGCTAATAATTTGTTGCAAACAAAATCACAAATAGATCGGGTCTTTAATTTCTATTTTAGAAATCAACAAAAACCAAAGATTCACAAGTACTGAAACCAATTTTTTAATCAGGATTTAGATTTTGTACATCAAAAGGAACTAAAGATTATACAATGATAGATATTGTCACACTAAATATAAAAGTATTGCATACACAGCTGACATACATTATATAACATTTATTTACTGTTTAGTTGCCAAAATTTGTATTGACAACAATTATTAATATTTTATTAGCAATAAAGGTATTGGTACATCTGGTTGTAGCAATAAATTATTTTTTTACACGGTAGCACAAATGTTTATGTGTAATCGAAATAGCAACATTAAGTATAAAACACTTATTTGTTTCTATCAAATTTATAAAATATCAGACATCGATGAATGTCATGGTCAGACAGGAAGCCCTTGCCAGCAGATTTGTATCAACGATAACGGAGGCTACTCGTGCTCGTGTAACGCTGGCTACACCATGAGTAGCACGGATCACCAGAGCTGTATAGGTAATTGTTATCAGATTTAGGTACGTGTATCAGAATTATCAGATTACTCAAACCAGTAGTTTTTAAACTTTTTGGATGTACCGAACTCCATCAGTTGCATATGCGAATTCATCGAACAATTTGTAATTGTTATATTGTACTCATGAAAATTCATATCGTAAATCATATAAGTCGGGTGTGTCTTGACCTCTTCCCAACCCATGAGACTGACTCACCATATTCCCGGGGTTCGATCGAAACCCAGTGTTTGGATTGTTTGAGAGAGTCGAGGTTTACCTGACGCGATTCACTATAAAAAAAGGGTACCCCTACACCGATGACTCACATAAAAACGAGAATCACTTGGTACAATATTTTTTTGGTCAATATTTATTCAACTACTGTCCAGGGGCGGAAAGACAATGCGGAGGGCGGTGCGAGGATGGGGCTGGCCAACCCTAATCTGTGTATTGGTATGTTAACAGAAACTCTGAAACGTTTATAACTACTATTTTAATCGTATTGCGATTATGTTATTTACAAAAATATAAATTCCTTTACATACGTTGTCAATTTTTAAGACACATGGTTTTTTTACAAACTTTTATTTAACTTGCTTCTTCGCGATTTATGTTTTGTCTGTTTGTCCGTAATGGGTTGTAACAGACGAACACAATTTAGACCACTTGACAAGTATTGTGATATATATTTATTTCAGTCGAATTTTGTTATTCATATTTTAAAGTATTATTTCATATTTCCTAAATAAAATACTAATTCGGTTTTATTATACATAATTTGTCTGTTTTTATTTTTTTATCAATTATTTTTGGCTTGCCATTCTATAGTGTGTTTTTAAATTATTTAAGTAATGGTGCAACATTATTTAATAATGGAGATTATTTTTTTTCTGCGGTTATTGTTTTATTATATTAAACTTTTTTAATAAAACTTATTTTTTCTTTACTTAATCTTTGTATACTTAATACGAAAGATTCTAGTAGTAAAAATCCTAGTTTAAAAATGTAAATTTCAGACATCGATGAATGCAACGACCAAGCAGGAAATCCGTGTCAGCAGAATTGTACAAACACTGTTGGCAGTTATTCGTGTTCATGTAGTCCAGGATACACCGTCAGTGGTACGAACTCTAGCACGTGTGATGGTGAGTCGGTTTAAACATTTTATCTTTAGACTAAAGTATAAACTTGGCTGATGCTTTTTGTTTTAATTTAAAATATATGATTTATTGAAAATTAATTTAAAATGATACGATATGACTGTCTGTGGCGTATGCATTATGTTTGCTCAAACGGAGCGGAGAATTATTTATAAGTGACTTTTCTTGATTCTTTAATTAATTATTCCTAAAAAAATGTTTTTATCGTTTATATATACCAAAAATTCGATTTCAAGTGTTTGGTCAGTTCAAGAGGATCGAGCTTTACCTGACAAAGTTTGCTACAAATTAATGAATACCACAACAAGCGATTATTCACAGCACAACGTGAACAACAGTATTTTCTTCATCGATATTTATTCAACCACGCTCCAGTAGCGGAATTAAAAATCCACCAGACTCTGCAAAAGCAAAGTCGGGGGGGGGGGGGGGGGGGGGGTTCACGCCAATCTCAGTCTGTGTATTGGTATGTTAACAGTGATGCCGAAACCTGTAAAACTACTATTTTGTTCGTACTGCGATTCTGTTATTGGTAATAGAGCAGGTGCTATAGTCCGGTGGGTGGTTGGGGTGAGGTATTGAATTGTTATTATAGCAGGTATTTCAAATTAGATTTCAGTTATCTCACACAGAAGTTTTTTGAAATTCTAAAGTTTTTAGGGACTACTTAATTATAACATAGTTATATTTCTAAAAATAATTTCCAAAAAAAAACTAGACCTTCAGATGCCAAATTTGGAAATAGTATAGCTTACATGTTCTATTATATGGAAAACATAGTGGCATAAGCAAAGATTCAAATCAAACATGTCAACAAAAATGAACCATCACATTCGGAGGCTATTCGTGTTAATGCTTATTAGGTTATATACTAAGTATAAAAGATCCTGCAAAGAGTGAAAGTAACTGATCTCTTTTTACAAACATAATATTAAAATCTATATTGTTAAAAACTTTAAAATGTATAAATTATAAACAAATATTAATGTCCTAGTTCAGTGCCGGAGCCAGGTTATTTAGCGCCCTAGGTAAAACTTTTTAAAACCTTCCCCGCTATTTTTTTTTCGGGCCCCCATATTATATATATATATATATACTTGCACACCCGTCCCCGCGCGTTGCCGCGGGGATAGAAGGAGGGTTTCATCCATACGTTACCAATCCTATATTCTTAGACGCGTAACCTTGTTTTCTAAAAGTGAGTTTTTTAAATGTAAACAATGCCAGCGCTTGGATCATAAATACCGGGACACGGGTTTACCTACACTACCGCATGAAAACCTTTTGTATACATTAATCACTCACCGAAATAATCAGATAGAACACACTTTGGTGACCACCCATGTGTCAGGGACGTAGAGCGGCGCTCAGGAACACCCCACCCCCCTCGATTAAACTACTGCAAAAGCGCCACGTACGGCCCCTGGCTCCTTAAAATTAACAGGCGCCATTGTGTCGAATAGCATCCTGTTAACAATGATGCAGATTGCGTCATTCGCAAAAGCGACACAAATGAAATGATAAACTGTGTCAAACCGCAATCGTCTTTTAGTTTTATATACCGTATATAGATAAAAATCCCACCATTCCGTGGCGCCGCCCTTGTAAAATTATTTAAGTTGCTTCTTCCCTGGAGTGCTCTAATCAACTCCCCAAAATTTGATGGCGATCGGAATAAAGCCGTGTCACCGCAATTCACATTTTTTATTTTTGTATACCGTATACAAAGAAAAATCGCACCCTCCCGTGGCGCCGCCCTTGCGAAATTAAATATTTTTACAGAACCCTTCCCCAGAGTGGCCTTATCAGCTCCCAAAAGTCTCATGGCTATAGGGTGAGCGCTGTCAAACCAAAATCGACTTTTATTTTTATATACCCTATATAGAGAAAAAACAAATCGCGCCCTGCCGGGGCTCCACCCCTGCGAATTTGAATTTTTTTTCCGCAGAAACCTCTCCAGGAATATTCACAACAACTTTCCAAAGTTTCACGGCGATGTGATGAGAGGTGTAGTAATGCATAAAAGGCAGACATACACACACACACACACAAGCATACATTGCTTTATATATATATATATATATATATATATATATATATAGTAGACTGTATATTTTAAATTAAACCATTAAACCAAGTTCATTGGAAAGTATATCCACCATAAGACAACAAACCGCACAGAGATAGGCTGAAACACTTTTTTCTTATCTAAAATAATCGTGATTTTCAAAATACCTAATTTATGCCCGACGAAAATTATCAATATTGTCATGAATGTGTTTTATTTTTCATACTACAACTTACGTAGTTTTTTTCACTTCGAGACAATGTGTGTTAGTTACTGAAGAACAATCACTGCTGCAGTTGATTTAGGTTTTGTCTTCACAAAAGCACTAGTCTAGCAAGGTGCAAAAAATTACTTTGTAGTGTCGAAATTTGCTCCCCCTCCCCCTAAACGGCCTGCCCCCCCTCCCCACCGCATTATAGTATTTCCGACCCTGTAATTAATTTCAATTTTCAAAGACTGCGCACTCCACTTACCACCGGCACTGGAAAAGTTAATAGTATTCGCATGGAAACAACACCCTGTGGCGCAAACAATTATTTTAGTTTAAAAATCTAAATATCTTCCTGGCTAAAGAGATTTCTAATTAAAAGTGAGACAAAACGAGATTTAAATACCCGATTAAAAATAAAAATCGCGCGTGTTTTACAACGTCGCGTCATGCGCTAGAGCGATCAGTAAACCAAAATTAAAATTAGATAACTATCTGAAATGTTCGAAATTTTAAAAAAATCAAATACAATAATTATATTATTATATTAACAGATTCCTGCCTAAGGAAAGGTGAATGGGGCGACCGCCTTAGGCACCGACCTAAAGGGGCGCCTATTGTGGTAGCTATTATTGAATGATTACTCATAGAAACTTAATTATCTATATTATTTTTCTCAGAAGGTAACCTGAAATGATTTTACTAAACGGCAGAACAGCTCTTGTAAAATGCCTGTGTAAATTAAATTTAACGAAGTCTCACATAATTAAAAATTGAAAATATGTATAAGTGTAAAAAATGTATTCGTCGACGTTTACTTACAATTATTTTTCAGACATTGATGAATGCAGCGGTACTTCAAATCCATGCGAGGATGTATGTACAAACACAATAGGAAGTTACACATGCTCTTGTCAACGGCCTGGATATATAATTGATGAAATAAATCCAACAAAATGTAAAGGTAAGTCGGAGTTTTTTCAATCAAATCATATTATTCACTTTACTTAAAAATACAATTACTAACATTTGGCTTATAACTTGTATAATACTATTTTTGTCTTGCAGCAAATTACATACCGTGTAACACAGATGCCATTGAAAATACAGGTATAATAATTAGCCCCAACTACCCGCAGAAATACCCATTCAGTTCTCAGTGTTTTTGGAAGATACCTATCAAACAACATATGGTTACCATCATCAGGTAATTATTTATAGTTTTAACATTTTAGGTCCAATACAATATATTTGAGTGTCATTGAATTAAATTGAATTGAACTAAGTTGAGTTGAGTTGAGTGGAGTTTGGTTTGGTTTGGTATATATTTAATTATTACATTTGTAAAATTAATGTTATCGACCACTTTATAGAAAAATATATAATGTAAATTGTAAAGTAATAACTGTGTCTTTTTGTTTGTCACAAGCATTTTAGATTTTCACCTAGAAACATCACCAGACTGTGAATCTGATAACCTTAAGATTTATAATGGTACTACCACTAGCGATCCAGTGCTTTACACATTTTGTGGTCAGTTTAAACCGGACCCTATCAGTTCACCTTACAACCTGTATTTGGTATTCGGTTCTGATTACCGTCGCAGCTATAAGGGATTTAAATTAACCTACACTTACGGTGAGTAGGGTGTTAAATTACAAATGTGCTTTATACCCTTAAATATGTTTAATGTGTATGATTAAAGACAAAGCAAAGACAAAAATATATATGACTATTTGCAACGCGATGAACTTAGTGCAATATTAAACTATACTTTTAGTGTAAGGAATAGTGTACCGTGTTCTCTGGAGTTATATATGACGATTTGGGCAACGGAAACATTGTAAAATCAGTAAAGTCATTTTGGAATATATATATATATATATATATATATATATATATATATATATATATATATATATATATATATATATATATATATATATATATACATTGATTAGTAGGTTACAGAATTTAAGTATAGGAGCTTATGAGGAAGTATCGAAAAGGATAGAAGCATGCTTCTTTGACTTTCAATTTTTCAAACCATCCTAAAGACCTTATCGTTAAAGTTTCATGCATTTAACGTACAACAAAATGAACGTAATTAATCCTTTATCGATTGGTGTTAGTTTTAAGGTATAACAAATTTTTTACGGACAATAAACTTTAAAAAACCTAAAGCTCATTACAGCCGACAAGTTGATTTTTTCCATTATTTCCCTTGGTTTAATTTCTGCAGTAGAAACAATACTTCGCTACGCGCTCAAAAAAAAAAACGACGCGGCTGTATAGACAAAAGGTTTTTCTTTTCGGCAGACCATGCTTGTTTGAATAAAGATTTAATAAAACTTAAATAATTTTAGTGCATCATTTAAATTAACTATAGCCAAATACAATAATGAAATACAAATTCCAACTTCTTAAAAGCTAGAGAACTAAAATAAGTAAACAAGTAAATATACGTAGCCTATATCTGCCGCTTACAATTAAGGTCAAGTTTGATTGACTTGTTTCTTAATAACTCTTCAAGAAAGTAAACACTATACCATTTAGGCCAAAAAATTAACTCAATCAATCGAACCATGACGAATATTCGCTACTCGGGGGGGGGGGGGGGGGAGATCGTGTGAAAGTAAGCGAAAAGGGGGCGATTCGAATTTTTAAACGATCTTAGCTAAAGCTGTTAAATATTTAGACAGCGTAGCTTTTTTTAAGAAAACATCTAAAATGATGAAAAGTTTTAAATCGAATAAAGGTGTAAACTTACTTGTAGATTTAGGTGTAAAGGTTGGTGTAGATTCTAGGTGATGTTGTAAATGTAGGAAATAGTGAAAACAAAGATGTAATTGATGTTGTTTTGGTAGCTGTAAAGTTGTGAGTGTAAAAGTAGGGGTCGATGTATGGGTATTACGTAATGCGATAAGTATGCGTGTGGGTTTGTGTGTATTTTTTATGAAATAAACTGTATTTAATTTTCCGTATGTCTATTACATAAAGTAAAAACGAATTCTAGAAAAGTTGTAAACATTGCATTCAGAGTTGACGAAATAATGTGTGTACTTAAAATGTAGGTGATGGTGTGGGTAGTGGTGAGTTGTGCACATATTGCGATAAGTATGCGGGGTTGGGGGGGGGTGAGGGAAAGGTCACGTAGTTGTGTGTATTTATTATAAACGTTACTATATTATATTATTTCCATATGTCTATTACATGAAGGTTAGATAAATGCGATAAGTATGCGTGGGGGTGCGGGAAAGTCTCGAAGTTGTGCGTATTTAACAGTATTAAATTATTTCCGTATGTATAAAACATCAAAGGTTTTTAAAAATATATTAAATGAGTTTAAAGAACCCACATAAATTGAAGTTTCACGCATAAAATATAGATCGATATTGTAGTATCTAAAAGAGCATGTTTGATAATATAGGTACCAATGATACTTGATTCCTTACAATTTGTTTGAGCACTTGGTAATGCCTATTTATAAATCAGGAGGTTATTTTGTTTTACATAGGGGTAAAATGTTATGTCATATTAATGCGTGGTTAAAGAGGATGGGATGAAGAGCGATGATAGTTTGGACGTTTATCGCAATATATGCAAGATTTAGGTGGGGTGACTTTGAAAGGTTAACATCATAGAGTGATATTTTAAAATGTAGAATTTTAATATAATCTACACAAAAGACCGCTTCTATAGACATGCGACTATATTTTTATCAAAATCTATTTAAAGCTTTACTTACCAAAAGGGTGTAGAAATCAATACGGGCCATTTTATCCTCTTGTATCCCGAGGTAATTAAAACAGATTTATTATTTAGTATGTCCTGTGTGTCTTAAACACAAACACAAACGGATGATGAGTCCGAATACTTTTAATTCAAATCCTTAGAACACTAACACTAATCACAACATTGAAAGAAATAGCCAAGATAAATAATTACTTAGTATGCCCGAATAATATTCATTTAAATTCTTAGAGCACGAACAGTGATCACAGCAACTAAACAAATGACCACGAAAAGTATCCTGAAAACAGGGCCCAACGTATACAATCACGTGGTTTAAATTAAGCCATAGGATTGGTCACTATAAAATAACCAATCTTTAAAATGAAGGCACCATCAGTTATATTTAAAACCAATGCTTATTTCGTTTTTTCTCAATATGGGAGGAGCTTTATCCGATCGCAAAAATAGCCCGCGCATTACCTATTTAACACAAGCCCATTCTGTCGCCTTTCATCTTCGCACCTTTTACGCCCAGAGAAATCTCGCTAGACGCTTGTCTCTAACATTACATAACATTCGTCTGGTACGCTTCACCAGGTTACACGCTTGATTTTTTATTCTTGAGTTCAATGACAGATCCGGGTAATAAAATGTTTTGGTCAAAATACCTGGCTAAGCACATATCGGATTATAAAACTTCTACGCAAAGCATATGGCATGACTAGATACACACTGGCCTACTTAGTGAGCGAAATAATTTTATTTCCGTCTGCAGGCTAATAGGATTTAAAAAATACAATACGATTTATTAAGAAAATATTAGCAAAACATAGATCCTTACTTAATTAAAATCAATCACGCTTAATATAAACATCTTCCTACAGAATATTATGATTGCATTAACTCATGTAAAAATATGTTTATTGTGTTAAAAGACCAAAGCTACCAGATTTATTACTTTCGTGTAATACATACTAATAAAATAATAGGTAAAAATGTCCTCGATTACACATTACATAACCTGCCAGTGTGTAAAAACAATGCATTTGTGTGTGTGGGGGTGTTGCGAAGCATTTTATACCAGCTTACAGCGGTTTTAATTTTGTTTGATTATAATGGATACCCCCCCCCCCCCCCCCCCCACCGCCATATCACTAAACCACTTGGTATTTCAAAACGCGACTAGGCTATTGTGTTGAATTTTAATCTAACTATGATGGCGGCCCACCTTTGGGGTAAAATACGTACGTGAGGTGTGGGCGGGGAACGCTGACCACACTATTTCCCTGTAAGCTGTGGTCATTGAAACAGTTTAGCTCAGTTTTATCTACCCCACGTTTTTTAGGCACGAATAGGGAAAATATCTAATTTTTTATAGCAGTTGAGAGATTTCTATATAATGTTTACTTTTTTTTTCGCGCGAAAAAAAGACACAATTAATAAGGTTTGCTGAATACGCTATAGAAATGTTAATTATTAAAGAAGTTTAGGCACATCATGTTTTGCTTTTTTTGTGGTTCCTTTTTCGGCTTCTCCTGATTCGGTTTTTTGTTTTGGTTATGTAATAAGCGTGATCAATTGTGGGCAGTACAAATTGACCTATTGTTGCAATGAGTTCAATCAAGTCACATTAACTACGTTGTATGCCATTTCACGCTCTGCACCCCCCCCCCCCCCCATTCCCTTGAGGATTTACCACACCCACCCAACCCACCCCCGATTAGTCCATAATGGCGGAGTTGTAGACATGAGTGAAAGGTTTTTTTTTTTAAATTGCTAGTCCGAAATTCACACATTCAGATCATTAAATATGTCTTATCCGCCCCCCCCCCCTCGCATCATGCCATTGAGTTGTCCAGAATAGAATCCCCCCCACCCCCAAATACAATAAATAGTTCTTATGATTTGTTGTCATCAACTCTTGGCAACAATACTACAGTCACCTTTGCTGCCCACTATTAGTATCCTCTTTATATCACATATAATAGGTTCAAACAAAAAAGCCGACAATGCTGCCGTTTAAGCAAGACGTCAACAATACCAACCTGATCAGTCAAGGCTAATATAGGAAAAGCCCACGGCAAAACAAAACATAACACTGTGCAATATTTCTTTTACAATTAATTTTTCTACCAGGTAATAAAAAAATGATTCCTTCTAAACTAAACATTTCATGAACGTGTCTGACGAATATTGTGTAATTTCAGAGACAAAAGTCTGGCAAAATTTTTTGATCTATGCCCGTGGGTTAGTAACACCAACTCAACAAAGTGATGGGGAAGGGAGGTGGGGTAGGAAACCACCGCGAGCCACTCGGGTACCGTACGCCCCCGCCACACACCCTTTGACTTTCCTCTCATGTTTGAATTTTTTCCAATAAGTTAGCCGCCCCCTCCCCAACCCTTCCTCTACCTGACGTAGGGGCTATCGAAAAATTGCGTTGCAAAATTAGAGTACAATTTTTGTAATTGTGTGTCCGCCCATCCCTTCCCCTCTTCTCCCCCGTGGAAATTCAACGTGGACACAATATGGACGGACAAGGCCGACTGAGAAGAAGCCTAACAAAGAATCGCATAAAAACAAACAGGCAAAACACAATGATATGCCTAAATTTCGTTTATAATTAACATTTCTAGAGCGCATTTAACTAAATTCGTTACAAATTTTTAGGAAGCTGGGTAAATATGGTTATTGTAATTTAACTTATTAATATTATACCGTACGAGCCGTTTTATTTTCTACTTTTCAGTAATTCATAATTTGTGAATTCGACAGTACCAATGCTGCCACTGAATATATTTGCTTTAAAACACTATCAGTAGCTCGTTAAGGACGATATCCCCCTCTCCCCCCCCCCCCCCATCTTCATGAAAGCAGCCTCCTCTTACTTACCTCCCTTATTTGTCCCTAATAGCCGTCACTAAACCGGGCTCTACGACTGTAAACATTTAACGTTATTTAAATAGTATTGTATAATTTATTTTCTCCTTTTTAGTGCATTTTTACATAAAAGCTTGTTATTAAAACGTTTTTTATGAATTTTTAAAATTATCATTTCGCAATGGACGCTTGCGAAAAACTAAACCCCCTCTGCCCCCCCCCCCCCTTCCCGTTACCGATTCCCCCCACCCCCGCAAAAGTCCAACATTTAGTCTATAGTCTGAGGGAATTGTGGTGCACAGATGTGTGTGTGGGGGGGGGGGGGCGGATTTGTTTTTTATCCGATGCTTCACTCAAGCGGATCGTGAAACAACGTGAATCTTGCAGCCTTCTCGTTGGGACGGGGTGGGTGGGGGAAAGTGACTGAACATGTCTATAGCCTCACCTAGACCCCCACCAGTCCGTGACGCGACAAGCCGACGAGCGTAGCCTTTGATGGTCTGTAATTGCATAACAATCGCCTGATACATTTTATCAGGTTGACCGACTAGCCTTTCCAGTCTCGTGATTACGTAACAGGCAACAAAAATCGCTGGTCAGAAGATTTGGTTACCAATCTGTCAGATTGAAATAAATCTAGGCAAAAGTTGATGCTGGTACACTCGTCTGTGTATAGCCAGACACGGTCATCTTACAAAATCCCTAGAATCTACTACACTTAGTCAAGTACTCTAACACGTGCTGTGTTAACTGTAATAGGCCTCCTGGTGGGCTTACAAAATACATAAGCCTACTACTTGCATAAACATTGGTCATATATAAATCTATGTTATACTCCTATAACTTAACACTATACCTTCCACTCATCACACACAGCTTCACTCCTCTTTTTCCCGCAATTAAACCATTTCTGAATTCTATATAAACAATCTATATCTTAAAACCTAACCCTTAGTCCCTACCCGAAAAGAAATATGAAAGAAACTCTGCACACTTTTAAGATTAGACAAAATTGGCTTTTTAATACAAAGTTTACGTAGCATAGGATAAAGACAAAAAGCCGATACGGTACAAAGGCTGCCGTTTAAGCATGACGTCAACAATACGTAATGTGGACGGTCAAGGAAAAGACCCACGGCAAAACAAAAATACACAAACCACAACGATGTGCTACATTACTTTTTCAAAACATTCCTCCGTACATCCCCCCGCCAACCCTTGACCTTCCTCTCATGTTTGAATTTTTTTTTAATTTAACCGTATCTTCCCCCCAGTCCCGCTTCCCCCCCCCCCCCCCCTCCCCCTTTCCTGCGCTTGCTAGAAAACATTTGATGAACGTGTCAGACGAATATTGTGTAATTTCCGAGATAAAAGTCTGGCAAAATTTCTTCATCTATGCCCGAGGGTAAGTAACATCAACTCAACAAAGTGAAGGGAAAGGGAGGAGGGACATGAAACCACTGCGAGCCACTGGGGTACCGTACGGGTGTTACACTACATCAAAGGCGACGATTGTCGGCTTGTTGCGTCACTGGCTATTGGGAGTGGGGTGAGGCTATGGATGTGTCAGTGTCTCCCCTTACCCACCCCAGTCCATTGTGGTAGTTTCGGCGAGCTAGTTACCGCCACGTGGTAAAGCGTATTATTTTTTTTTAGTCAACCTAATAAAAGAGCAACGGGTAAAATTTAATTTATTTTTAAAGCAATTTTTACGAAAAAGTAATGTACAAAATCAAATAATGAAATGTTACGCCAATCACATCAGTATATCTTCATCGGGTTACACTAGTTGCAGCTCTACGGATTAATTTGTAAAGAAGATTAATTTTGACGATTAGTCCTGAGCGGACCGGGCCTAACACTTGAACACCGTGTCTCTATCTTTAGCTATTTTTTTATAGTATCATCCAATCGGGTCAGCCGCCTAGCATCACGTGCCACACGATTGTAGATCTCCACAGCAGAGCGATTCAGTCGGACGGCGGCCAATGCAAATTAGTCTTTATTTTCGTCTCATTTAAGAACTACTATTCAATGATTGGCTGAACAAAATCAAAAAATTTTGGTCGGGTTTTGCGCGGGTTGAAAAATTTCATGAGATTTTATTAGAATTTCAAAAAATAAAAAAAAAAGTTGTTTTTTTTTAAATTTATTTTTACGGTCTAAATCTAAAAAAATAAACTTTTTTATTCCATGTCAACAACACTATGGAAGGATTCTCTTTACCTCGCTGGCGTCCATTAAATATACTTGTTCCTCCCTCATCAGTACTTGCTCCCCCCCCCCCACCATTCGGTTCGGGGGGAAATGTATAAACAATATTAGTAGAATTCAGTAGATGTCTGGGGAAAGGGAGGAAATGGGGGAGGCCCTCCTTTCACCTTTTTTCCCACGTTTTCTTTAACTTGCTTTCTCTGTTTGTTTGTTTTTCCAATCAAATCTTGCGATCGAAATTTCTGGCACTTCCCAGTTAGCTAGCGCGCTGAAATTTTCAGGGAAGCTTTCTTTTGGATGACCATAGAATATTCAATTGTTATTATTACTAACTTGATCAATGGAAACATTTTATTGAGCATTTTAGACCGCTATATAATCTATATATATAATTCTCCTCTGCGAGCCATTAGAAAAAAAACGAGCGACGCGTAGCTCGCCTCTCTCTTGCCGCGCGCAGTGAAGCGAACGATCCCACGTCGCGACAGGCTTAGGGGCAGATAATTTAGTTTGAACCGACTTTAAACTTACAGGAGGTAACTATTACCACTGGTGGCCAGTTTGGGGGAGACGATATGGTCGAGTGGTTGGGCACACGATTGCTATCCCACTCGACACGGGTTCAAATCTATGCGTTCTAGTCAGTAACGTATTCACACAACGTGTTTTTTACGAGTTGTCTTTTTACGAGTTGTCTTCGTTTACCCAAAAAAAAGTGAAAAGATAAAATCGATAGCAAGATTTTAATGCAAACAAACAGACAAAGACTAAAAAGTAGAAAATAATAATCATTAAAAATGTTTTTAAAAACCCACGTTTTCTGATTTAACTAAAAAGTAGAAAATAAATGCTATACTTCACAATAATGCAAGCGATCACTCTACTATAAGCGATCAAAAACGTGGGGCGCCGTGATTTGCTTACAGTTTCTAATACTGTTGACTCTCTACAAGCTCCCTAATAAAAGTCAATAGTATTATCTAATCAATAGTAATATAACTTTTACTTCGGCGCCCCACGTTTTTGATCGCTTATAGTAGAGTGATCGCTTGCATTATTGTGATGTATAGCATTTATTTTCTACTTTTTAGTTCAATCAGAAAACGTGGGTTTTTAAAAATTTTTTAATGATTATTATTTATCAGTGCGAACATGACGCAACGTTGACGCTAAGAACTCCTCCCCTTATTATTTATACGATTGTTTTTGATATGGTGAATCATAGGATCGTATATGTAGAGATTAAATATTTT